TTTCATTGGAAACATTTAAAGTCCTTATTCTTCTAACCTAATTTTCAAAGCCGATTATCTATCTTGTTATGTTACACATCCATATCGTATTTATCATGTAAGATTATCATCACCTCCCATTTAGTATTTATTTGAAATTTAAGTCATAAATAATACACCCAGAAGTCCTTCATTATAAAATCAGGGCAACTATGACAAGTGAGTTGAAATTATGTATTTATTGGGGAAATGGAAAGATGCAGAAGATGGGGATGATTGCCTTCTACTAGGCAGCAAAGATATGAAAAGATAATATAGGGCTGTTGAAATGGAAATACTTGCATGAAGAAATAAGCATATTTTAGATTTCTTAGTGTGAATGAACTGAGAGGGAACAGGATTTTTGAAGGCAACCTTAAAGGAAAGCAGGACATCTAAGAGCTAGAATTGCTCCAGTTATGTTTTTAAAGGATGGAGGTATTTGGAACACAAAGAAACAAATGTACCATAAAGCTAAACTGTAAGTACAGGAAGTTAAGGGGTCAGCCTGAGGAATTAAACCACCTGCAGCCACAGAAGAGCATCAGACTTCCATGAAAGTGACAGTCTTGTCAGGTCAGATGACCAGTGTGATGATGGGGGTCTGGGCACACACACTGGAGCATGTCCTATGATGCATCCGCTCTTCACTCTACAGAAAGTCCAAGAGTCTGGAAAAAAGGCACACAGTTTCCCTACCCAGGACATGGGCAAGCATCTTGTCCTTCTTTAACTCTCCAGGTCATTCTTCTTGGTCTGTCTGGAGTGCTGACATCCCACTTTCTCTGAATTACCCCTCTGCACAGGACAGTAACTATTAAAGAGGTGCATACACCCCCTTCTTAAGGTTGGCCTGTATAGGGAGCAGCCTATATATGGCCCTCTCTGGTCAACTTCATCCTGCACTTGACCACATTGCTGTGTTGTAGTTCTGCAAGAACAGTCCTTACTGAGGTACTCCACAGAAATTCTTCTCCTGCCGAGCTGAAGAAGAAAACAAGCCAAGAATTCAAAATGCTGCAGAAGTTTCTACAAAACTTAATTGGTGCAAAGCTTCATGTCTCCATCTTCTCTCATGACCTTGGGACAAAAACTAGTATTCCTTTTATCTTGTTAAGGCCAAAATAAATTAGTGAGCCAAGCTGTGCTAATTTAGTTTTGTTCGTGGTTATTGCTGTAGCACAAACCGTTGAGCAAAACCAAGCCTCATGTTAAAAAGATGTGTTATCAGTATCCTGAAGTCTAACAAATAACAGCCCTTTTGTACCATATTTAGAGGTTTGGTTCCTACACAACTGACTGCTAAACTGTTCAGCTGAATTTTTGCAGGTTTCTGAACCAGTGTGGTTAACAGTTCCTCAAAGAGTTTAACGAAGTCCCTCTGGATACCAACACCTGCGAAAGTGTTGATACTCTAGTGGTAGAAGCATTTAAAGTCATGGCTCTTCATAGAGGTAGAGATAAGATCAGAAGAATTTCACCAAAAATTATTTGCTATGAAGAAAATTTGCTCATATGCACCTGACTAAAGTTTGGTGGCATGGATATTACTGTAGGTTTGTAAAGTAAACCAATTCTAAACTGTCGGCAAATTAGAAGCAAAAATGAAGCACTGTGGGAAGGGGAAGATATCTACTAAAGCCACATTTGCCTTTTGTTTGGTTACACACACTGAGTAGTGAGAGGACTCATCTATTGCTAAGAGAAATAACTTTTTTTTTTTTTTTTAAATTGTCATACTTCATCTTCTGAAGTCAAAGATCTGTCATCCTTAAGAAGGAGGGAATGTGCTCAGTCAAGAACAGCTAGGAAAGGTGTTTTGTTTTAAGAGAAAATTTGAACCCATGTGTTGTTAGTAACAGTAATTAGCATAATAACTAGTTAACATGATTCAAAACTATCATGCAATTAATAACAATATAGCAATTACTTACTGTTAGTGGGATAGGAGATTATTTAAGAGTGGTTTTGGTTCATGTGATTTTATACCTTTTGCTTTATGAGTGCTTCAAAGTGTGAAAGAAAGGCTGTGGGAAATTATGAGTTGTTTTTGCAAACAGGGCAATTTTTCAGGCAAAGGAAGGGAACCTTTAATTACCTCATGTAAAAATAGACAATTTATATTTCTGGGTGACCATATAACCATACTCAGCTTAACACTGGTCATCACTAGTGTAGAAGATGATTAGGCTGGATGGTAATGCAGCCTGAAGAGCTAACCTGTGTGTTAAAATAACATAATTCTTTTCCTGCCTCTGCTGTTAATTTTTTGTGTGATCTCTAGGTCATTCATCTCTTTCTAAGCTGTCCAGACTCTCTTAACATATATGCTTACTGTGTCAGCACAGTAGAAGGCTTATTTTTGGGTCACAAACAGTAGTAACAGCCCCTGTGCCTCCTGTGGCATACAGAGCCCACAGCCTATACGTCACTTCTGAATATGGACTGTGATGTTGATGGAAGCATTCAGACTATTGAGGCTTGAGCACTGTGAGCATTCAAAGGTTTATCTTAGACCAGAGAAACTGTGGTAGATGACACTTTTCTGTTTATATTCATCAAAACACATGCTTAAAGGCTGTCTTCTTTAATTATATTGCAATAATTGTCATGCTGATTACAAGCACTTTACAGTCACTCTTTTGCAGTCACTGATATAATTTTTAAATCCATTGGCATTTTCTTGTGAACAGCTGTCTGAAGTGCTGATTACAACATCCCCACTCAACTCTGTAGGGGGGGAGCAGCAGGAATGCAGCCTAATATAGTGCGATACCAGAAAGGGAAAGGAAAGGGGAAAGGGAGAGGAGGAAGGGGGAAGGGGAAGGGGAAAGGGGAAAGGGAGAGGAGGAAGGGGGAAGGGGAAGGGGAAAGGGGAAAGGGAGAGGAGGAAGGGGGAAGGGGAAGGGGAAAGGGGAAAGGAGAAGGAGGAAAGGGAAAGGGGAAAGGGGAAGGGAAGGGAAGGGAAATGGCACAAAAAGACAGAGGAAATCAAAAAGATGGAAATTTACTTCCATAATATAATTGGAATGATTTCATGAACCTTTGTCACACCCTGGCAGTTGTCCACACTGCCTTCCCCTCACGTAATCATGCTGTACAACTGATGCTTTATTTCTCACTTAATTGTTTTCAATAATGAAGGTTCCCATGATTAGCTGGGTGCAAGACCTACTTGGAATTCAAATTGTCTTGTGCCATAGACTGACTTCTCATGGAGTATTCACACTTTCACTGTGCAATTAGGTGCTTTGAGAATGGAACACTTACTGGAATCCTCTTGGATGTGCACTTAGTGAGAGGAGCACTTTAATCGGGTGCCTCATACCATCTAAAGAAGATACCTCAGCCACAGATTAACTGGAAGAATTAGGATGAAATACTCTGGGCCCCTTAGCACTTCATATAGAAGGGACACAAACAGGTACTATGTCCTGACCTCACGCTAAGGCTTCCTGTGACAGAAACACAGCAGTGACATACCTTTGTCTGGATATCACTGTGAACACATTTGTTTAAGGAAAGTTTTAGGAATTTTATCCTGGTCTCGTTTAGTTTGCATTATAATGAGTTTCAGTGTTTGAACTTGAATGTTTTATTTCAAATCAAACCCTTCCAAATCCTCGTACAGCGCTGTCACAGTAAGTGACAGCATCAGGAGCACCAGGACAGAGACAACACAGTAATTACAATGTGGATTAATATGAACAGAAAACACTGGATGGGATTAACGTTAAGTAGACCAACACATGAACTAAATCTTCTTTTCTCTTTGGCTTTCTAATTGGGCAATTCCTAATTCCTACTTTACTATCTGGTTCTAAAAACCAAATTAGGAGCTACATTTAAATTTTTCCCTAAAGTACTCTATTTTATCTACTTCTTTTTTACTACTCTTTTACTGGCATATAGAAAAATGCTGCATGAATCAGGGAAAATCAGTGTGCAAGTGAACTAATGACATTTTGCTGCTGCAAGTGCTATTTTTGTCTGATTTACTAAATAAAGTTCTCTGAAAGAACAGGACCCATTCAAATGTTTTTTTTTTTTCTGGTCCTCAGTAATACACAGAGAAAGACCCAAACAGTACAGATCTAAACCAAAATGAACACTAGGTAGGTTCATATCAGCTGAGTGAACCTCCCAGCAATTTGTCCAGCTACTGAAATTTCAGCTCTGAACTAGTTTCTATGTTACAGTCTTGTTCACTTCAGTTCAGTAGAATAACCCCAACTCCTGCAGCACCTGAATGGATTTTAAAAGCCTTGAAAATGGCATTTTTATGCTGTTAAATTATAATGAATTTCCTTTTGCTGGTTCCCTTAATTAAAGGGAAGATGCAGAGCCAACAGCTGGAAATGAGGGGGCTATGGCTGCGATAGGGATTGCAGCGAGTTGCCCAGGCATGAGGAACGTGTGCACAGCATGGGGAAGTGGGGTACTGCTGTGTCCAAAATAGAATTCTTGTTCCACAGTTATGGTCTGGAACAGAGTTATTTCTATATGTAAATTTTACTGCTGCTGTCGTGCTTTTCCCCAGATTGCTAACCGTGCCTCTGGTTTCCCACTGTCATGCTCTTAATGTCACAGGCTGAGGATGGCTGGGAGAGAACCCATCTGAGGAAACGTGGGCAATTGCAACATGTGGTGGGCCCAGAGCAGGTTTGGGAATGTATGAATACATTTCATGGGAAAGGGGTTAAAAATGGGCCAAAACTATGAGGGATGTTGGAGACAAATGCAGGAGAGGGAAAGAATTGGGGTCTGAGCTCCAGAGCAGGTGGTTGAACTTGGGTTACTCACTCACCCATCACGTTTTGGAAACCTGAATATGTATCTTTACAGTGTGCTGTACTGTGCCAGAGAGACATACCCTCGAATAACCCCTTTCACTGCTATAGATATTTGACAGCTACTGATGTAGCAAACCCAGCGCAGCGGGGAGGAGGTTATTATTAGCCCTTTTGTGTAGAGAGGAGGAGATGAAATGCAAAAATCAAATTACTTTTCTCAAGTTGCAGAGAGCAAGTGTGTCAGTGTTACTGCTGCACCCATGAGCTCTAGCTGTGAATTAAGAGGGATTTGGACATGAACACACAGGTGAAAGCCCTTCTGCATCTCTATCCTGTACTGAAGGCAGTCTCAAGTTTGTACCAGAGGGTTAGAAAGAAAGAACAGCCTTTGGGCTTCCAGTTGCCTCCAGCTGCTTCTTGGAAAACAACAGGGTGGTGGAGACTCTTTTCAGTACTGTATCTTGGTCCCTCTCCACCCATGGAATTGCCATGGCCTTTTCAGAATTCCTCTAAATAGAAATAATCATGCAATGAGCTGTTTTGTAAGAGAATTATTTTGAAAAATAGACTAAAAAAAAAGAGGAAGAACTGATGAACTTTCAGCAGATTAATTTTCTTGCTGTTCTGGCAGCAGGCTTTTGGCTAAATATCAGCCTGGTGATAAGTGGACCTTATCACTTGATAAGAATGGGAAGGTGAAGAATGGGAATTTCTGCACTTCACACATTTCTAAATAACGTCTGAAATCCCAGTGATCGCCTAGTGCTTATGTCCAAAAGAAGAAAACTAATAAAGAGGATTCTTCAGCCGTAGAGTAACCTCTGCAGCACTAATGGGCTGAACCATGAACTTTACCTCTACCTTTTCTTGGAGTAAATTGGCAATGATAGCTGGGGTTATGGACAGTGCATGTGATAAACACCTGTGTCTGCCTTTGCCCTATGGGTTAAGAAAAGGATAAGGAAAAGGAGGTGGCAGGCACAGGGATCTCTGTGCTCTGCAATGGAGGCGAATCACCATTGTACTTGAAGGGTGATCCTTCCTCAGCAGGACTGGTAAAATCTCAGTGTAATGCTTCCCCTCACATTGCTAACATTTAAAGGAAAAAAAACATTTATGTTATAATGTGTAAAGTGCTGAAAGAAGTAGTCAGTCTTGTCTGTATAAGGCTGAGAGTTTCTGCTCAAAGCAAAGTTACAGGATTTATATCCATCTTAATGCAGTTACTGGGAAGTTGAATCACCCTTTTTGGTGAGAACAGAATTGAACTGCAGGCTGGTTCTTATCCCCATACAGAAGGCAGTGCCTCCAGCATCTACGCTAATATCAGAAGGAAAATTAATTTTCATTGGAGTGCAAAGGAAGAAATTATTTTCTCTAGTACAGTGAGAAGGAAGAAAGAGAAGTGAAACAGAATAAAAATACTTAGTAAATTAAATACAAAAAGAAATTTTGTGCTTTAATATCAGCTATTTACTGCTTTGGCTTGGTGATAATTTTATGCAAAAGGCAGTAATTTAATGTACTAATGCACCACAATGTTACAATGGGGTTCCTATTTCTAGCATCTATTGTTGTGATGAATGACATCCATTTTAGCAAAGAAATGGTATCCTTGAATGAAGCTTGTTGCAGGTATTTTTAACTTCACTTTGCTGGCAGATTGAGACATGTTGATATTTAAAAAGAAATCTATATACAATTCTTAGAGCTTACTCCCCCAAAAAACCTAAAATGCTGCCTCTGAAGATGATTGGATGTGGTGTCTGAGGGAAGCTGATACAGATGCTTCAGCAGTTGCACACTGTAAGGACCACAATCTGCATCCAACTGTAAATATAAATAAGGAGTTTCTTCTAATCAACTAATTTTTTTACCTTTACAGTCATCAGAAGAAGGAAGTGTCTAAGCCTGCTGGAGGGTTGCAAGTTCTTTCTTCTGTAGTCTGGTCTGTATTTGAATGTTTACCGTTTTGTAGGAACCTAGAGCTGCCCTGGCCCAGGAAGCCCATGAATGTCTTCTATTGCCTTCTTGCAAAGGGAGCAGGAGTTTGTGAGTAGGGGGAAAGGGCAGTCAAGATGAAAGCTTCAAGGATTACCTTTCCTACAACAATCTTCTTCTACTGCCAAGAGAAGAAGAAAACTGCTGAAGTTTGTTTTCACCTTCTTTCATCTTGATGTAAGAAGAAAGCAGCCAAAGGCATAGGTTAACTGAAAAAGCAGCCCTTCAGGGTATCAGAGATGTAACACTGACAAACAGCAGGATGCCAGAGAAAGGGCTAACTACAAACAATACTGATTGGTGGGAAGCAGGAGATCTTTATCACTCGTGTTGGAAGGCAGAATCACCTCCACATTGGTCAGGGTCAGATCTGGGTAATGTCTTTTGTAAGTAGGGGGGAAACAAGAAGTTCTGCACCTATATGTACTCTCTGACTAAAATGTGAGAGGTGAAAATATTTACCACGGCAAATCTAATGAATTAAAAAGCAAAGCTTACCATAGAGAGGAAAGAAAAAGAGGACAGAAAGGGGAACAAGATGGCAATCATAACTCCTAGCTGCACCCAGTGCCTTCTGCAATAACACCAAGGACAGAGTTTGTGATACTCAGGGTGAATCTTCACCCTTTCCTGATGGACAGCAAGTGTCCGCATAAAGCTGCCCCAGGTCTGCCCTGTGTCTAAGCCAGCTGCAGTCCAGTGCTCATTGTTCTCATCAAACCTATCACAGCAGGCTCTATGCCATGCCTTTGTGGTCTCTGACTTTATTTGCTACCTTATGATGATTAATAGGATTTACTGCCTTACAATATGATTCTTAGCTTCGGGTGAACAATCACTCCAAGCATATAAAGGCTTTGTTAGCTGACTCGGGTATTTAAACAGTGTAAAGTCAGTAATGTTTCCTCTCTGCCTATCAGAAGGCAAGCTTTTTTCCTTTCCCTCTCCTTCACCCTTTCCTTTTCCTTTTTCTCCAGAAAAACTCCCAAAGATGTTAAAATCTGTAACACAAATTAAGCTTTCTACAGGCCTGACCATTTCTCTTTTTTATTCCACTTTCTTTTCCGCTAGAAGATACCAGAAAAATATTTGCAGCCCTCTCAAACTGTCTGGCAGGCAAGGGCAAGCTTCTCTTTTAGGCCTCAACCACAACAGACATCTCCATTTTGTCCATCTCTAGCCCAGAGAGAATTCAGGCTCATCTGTTACCAAGCTCTGACCTTTTAAGGTGATATGTAAATTAACAATTCTTGCACTGTAATAAAAGCATATCTGTAAAGCAAAATAGCCCGTGCTGTGGATCTGATACCTGCACTGGACAAGCTCAGGGGAGTTTTACTTCATAACTGTAGGATATTGCCAGAAATTAGACACCCATTAGTGAATGGAATGCACCTAAAGTGCATCCATTATGTGTGATAAAAGTATTTAGTTCACTCACTGAAATATGGCTTCATCATGTGAATCAAAGCAAGGCATGTGGGAGATTCCTTTCAAATTTGAAACTAATGAACTTGCATCTAAGCCCACAATCCCAGCTGGAGAGAAAACCGATATGGGTGTCAACTCTCTTGTAGCTCCTTTTCCTTTCAGTTGATGATCCCTGGAGACTCACAGAGAAACCCCATGAGCCTCGTATGTAGAGAAGTAATGTAAATACAATCTTCCCATAGGAGTATATTCCTCATTTCACAGACAGCTGGTGACAGAGACCTCCAGCCTTTATGAAGCCAACCTTCTCCTTGTTCACTAGAACATGGTGGAAATGAACATCCTCCTCGTGAGGAGTGACACACATTTTTATTGACTCAGGCAACTCAGCTCTGGATAAGGATGTCCTGGGAGCAGTTTCCAGCTTTCCTCTGTTTTTTTAATCCATTTTTGTTTTTCATCTGTCACTTTCCTTACATTTGTCAAACTTAACAATATGCTGTTTGTAAAAAGGGAAGAAAATTAGGGGTGAAGAACTAATCCCACTAAGATAAAGTTATTGGTCCAATTAAAAAGAGGGCTTTACAACATTCAATTAAAATAAAAAGATGAATTAATAATGCAGATAAATACTAACGTGTGGAAAGAAAAAGTAATAACGCATAGAAAATACTAATGCATGGACCATTTCATCCTAGAGCTGCCCTTCTCACTTAGGAATTTTGTACATCTCTGGTAAACTCTGGATTTCTGGGAGTGCAGAAATGTTTTCCTTAGGCAGCAGAGGAGTTGCCCCAGTCTTATACCACAAGCAGAATGATGTTGAGAGTACTAGTTTCTTCTTGCAATCCTTCTCTGTTTTGAGGTTTATATGAAGTTATTTTTACACTGCTATTATTCCACAATATATTATTATGTGTACTCAAGGTAATTTTTCTTTATTCGTGGTCATTGATTGGGGTTTTCTGTATATGGTAAAGCCAAGTTTTACCATATGTCCCATATTCCATATATTTTACCATATTCCATGACAAACCATGATCATAAAATTCAGGTAAACAAGATGGAACATATTCCTCACTGAGACTGAGAGTTAAAGGTAGTGCATAAGGCATCTAAGGAAGCTGTAGCCACCTGAATGTTTTTAATGTTGAACAATGGTACTTGCAAAACCAACATGAAAAACAGGTTTAGGGTAAAACGAATCCTCACGGTCTGTGGCCTGTTACTAGTAACGACAAACTTACATGTCCTGGGCCACTGTGCTTTACTACAGTGTCAGTATCTTCCAAAAACTAAATATCCAGTAGCTGTAGAACTTCCTGACTTGCAAGACCAACAGGAAGCTATTTTATTTGTCTTTGATTTACAGTTTTTAGAGGGTTTATAATGGCTTTTCAATAAGCCCTGGTGCTTTGCTTTTACTTTCACATGCACATGCACACACAGAAACCTTCTTCTGATCTCTGAGACTACTGAGATTCATTAGCAAGAGTATTCATCTAGTTAAGAATGCATTAATAGCATCCACTGTAAGTATTAATCTGCTGTTGTCAAGTGATAATTGCAGAACCTGGTGATTGCATCAACCTTCACCAAGTTCAGCAGATAGAAAAGTCCTTGCACCCTTGTTTTAGGCACCTGCAGCTGCAAAGAGTATTTTTGTGTTTTCAAGCAGGTTAAAAACACACGAAACATTTCTGATTACAAAGAACCATAAAAAATTTCTTTCTTGCCTCCTAATGTCTGATAAAAGTAATTATTTTGA